CTAGCCCTGGAACCCCAGGGACAGAGTGCCAGCACCAAAACTGGCATTGGTGACTCATGCCCATAATTCCAGCACTGGGGAGACTGTGACAGGAGGATCACTATGGGTTGGAGCTGTGTATCAAGAGACTGTACAAAATAAATAAACTATTAAAAGAAAAAATAGTCCAATGAATATAATGTTTAAGGAGGAACATCTTATTTATCAACAGGACCATTTTCTTTCATATTCAACAGCAATTTCAACTCACCCTCTCCCCACACATTTATATGATGATATCTCACAATTACTTCTTCTTTTTCCTATAAGTTAAAATTTCCAGCTATATTGTAATTTAAAAACTAGAATTCGCTAAGTCTCCATTGCCCTGTTTCACTTCTATGTGGATAGTCAAGTGTTGCTTATCCGTTTTACTTCTAAAGTAGCTCTTCTTTCTTTCCTCCTGCTCACTCCTGTCTTCCTGAGTCTGAACCCCTTTGTCTGAAGGAGCACCATGTAGGACAGAGGGATTTGCAGTTCCTCAAAGTCAGTTATGGTTGCTGGGCTGAATTTTTCTCATTATCAAAGCTGAATGCGGAAGTAGGTGATTCTTTCGACTGGGTGGTCAGCTATGGATCAGCTAGATAGTTTGGTGATCTTATCTGGGTTTTCTCTTATTTCCAAGTTATCTTGCTATATGCTGGCTGGCTAGGATGGCTTCAGCTGGAACAACTGGTCTTTCTTCACTATAGTTTTTCATCCTTTGAGAGTCTACTCTGTATTTGATCAAATGTTGATGGAAGATTGCACAAGAGAACATGGTACTTCACAAGACTTCTTAACATTTTCATAATTGCTTTCTTATCATGTCCATAAGGTTTTATAGGGCAGAGCTAATCATGGGAGCTTAGATACAAGGTATTTACATTTTGATGTGCAGAATAGCACTGTTATAATAGTAAGAATATATGTACAAGTTAAGAAAATTTGGAACAATTTTAATTTAACACATGATTTTTATGTATCTGCAATAAAATAATTATCATTAAGTGTTATGGTATATATCTAGATATTCCCCAAAGGCTTATAGAATCATGATTGGAGCTTTCCAAGGTGATTGGACCACAGGGTGAGATAATGATCAGTATATTAATATACTGATAAGTTTGTATCTAAATGTGGTGTTGAGAAGTAAAGCCCTGTTGAAAGAAATTGAGACTTGGGGACATGGCCTTGAAGGACACATCTCCCTTTCATTCCCTCCTTCCTTCTCTCTGTTTCCTGAGCATATGATGTAAGTACCTATTCCTCTACTGTGATCCTCTGCTATCCTGACTGGACTCTGGACTGAACCCTTTACAAACTTTGAGCCAAAGCAAGCCTTTTCTTTGAATTGTGGGTATTGGATATTGTGTCTCAGTGACAAGAACAATAAAAAGACAAGATATATAACTTAAAAAAAAAAGCTGAATGCTAAACAGAAAACTGAAAGGAGAGGTCATAGATGTTTCTTCTGAACTTAGATAAGCACTCTCTCTCCCTATTATCCAGAAGAGAAAGCCTGCATCCAGCATGTGAAGATTCTCAGTTTTATTGGAGCCTTCAGCAACACAAGCCTCCTTCCTGCGGATGATAGACTGCTCATCCCAGTCTTCTAATAGTCATCCATTGGTTAAACAATTAAACATGACAGTCTAGTTGGGAATCACAAAGCTAGCAGACTGCTCTGCTCCCACTCCTCACTACTGATACCAAGCTACTCAGTTGCTCTCGAAGTCGCCTTCCTTGTTCTGCTTCCTGTGCCTTGATGATGAACTTCCTGTCACTCTTCCCCTACCTGTAGTAAAGTTTTCCTGTTTCTCCCAAACACTTCCCTCTTCTAGTAAACACACTGCCTT